AAATATATATCTTAACCAAAAATCTGATATGGATGTGTAATTTATCCAAATTTTGTGATTTTGCATAAAATTCGATATAAATGTCCGATTCTCTTGTAATTTTGCCCATACCAATATTTTTTTAAGATGAAATATGAAAATGGAGTACTTCGGCCGACTATATATGGTACTCCACACACATTTTCTAAAAATTATCACATATCTCATATAAAGTAAAGTAGTCGATATAGTCCAAACGTGGCACGTCGCAATATTTATATCCTATTTATTTAGGTCCTATGCCCATTCCTTTGGCCCCTACTCCCATAGAGGGTCAACAGTTTGAATAATCATGAGACAAGTCAAAATATATTTAAATAATTGAACATTGGCTGAGGGTATACATCTGTCGGCAAAATCGACTTAGACGATATTTTACTTGTTTTAAATATAAATTGGCAATGTATCTGAGTCTAAGCCGGTACCTATGTCCGTATTTAAAAAAAAAAATATATATATATATATATATATATATATATATATATATATATATAAATGGCTAAAAAATACCGGCTTAATTAAAAAAACTAATCGAAAAAATACCTACATTTCATGTCATAGAAGAATCAATGAAACAAATACGTATAAATAATTTCAATCAAGGCAAGGCAAAAATGATAATTAGCAATGGCAATGAAAGAATTCACAATAACATTATGCCTGAATCAATTAAGGTACAATTTGTTGTTGTTGTTGCATTAGTTATTAATAAACACATGAAACAACAAATAAGACAAAGCAACAAAAAAGATGCGTCACTTTTACTTTTTTTTGCTTAGCTTGGCGCTTTTTTTTTACAAATTTGGAAACTTTTCACAAAATTGTAAGCAAGTAAAAGCCATAATTTCTAGCCAAACAAAGTAGCACTAAAAATATAATAGGTAAATGAATATTGTTGTATGCAGGCGCAGGCAAATTTATTAGCTGGCGGAAGACAGTAAAAATCATCATTAAAGTATTTTTTTTTTTCTGTTTTGCAGCAACAGGCCATCTATCGAGTCATCAGGCATAGACTGACCAAGCCCCAAGCTAACCGCCGAATCAATCTATATTTATGAGAATTTTTTCAAGTGATTGCATCAGGTGCTTGTCGCTCGCTCAGTTCAATTGTTTGTTGTACTTTTTGTTCTTGTTATTTTTCTTCTTTCTGCCATTGTAGCAGAGTCTTTGTGGTGGAGGCATGTGGGGTGTTGTGATGTTTGTATTTCACTGACTGACTGGCTGTTTCATTTCGAGTGCTGGTTAGATGACTTGCTAGCTGGCTGGCTGGTTGTTTAGTTGGCTAAAAGCCAGACATTGTTTTCATTAGTTTTGTTTTTGTTGTTTTTATTCTTTAATTTTTTTGTTTTTCGCCATCAAAAAACGTTGAACTTGTTATTATTAACAGAATCAATCTAAATATGTTACGTCGTACTTTTGTAGAAATACTGAAAAATACTAAGGAACCACAGAGAAAGAAAAAACAATAGAAAACAAAAAGTAACACAACAAATATAGAATGTAATCAAAATGTGTGCAATATGCGGAAATAATAACAGAATTGGCGTTGTTGTTGTTGCTCTCATTCTATAGACTACAATGATAGGCAATACGCGTGTATGCTGGGTGAGATGTTTTTTGTTTTTTCAATCTAGCTGATGGCAATCATTGCAAATTTTGCCGGTTAAATGCCGTATCAATTTATATTCCCACAAGAGGTTAATTAACAATAATACCATGTCAATATCAAATCAATAGATGGGAGGTAGGGTGCCCCGTGGCCTACATATTTGAAAAGAGAAGCTAAATGTTGTGAAACGTTATGAGTCCTAAAAGTTTGTAATTTTTTTTACAAAAAAAGGAAAAAATTCCACGAATATACGCTTGATATAGTTTGTGGAATATTGTCAAGATGTCCGTAATTTGGATCTTATAGTAGCTATGAAAATAATTAAAAAACAAGTTAAAAAGTATCAATCGGGTTAGCCGACAGATGTATACCCTCAGCCAATGTTCGATTATTATACCCTCCACCATAGTATGGAGGGTATATTAACCTCGAATTATACATTTTAGACCCCACAAAGTATATATATTCTTGATCAGCATAAAATTCTATGTCGACTTAGCGATTTCCGTCCGCATGTGGAAATCGCTTTAGCTTCCGAACGAAATGAAGTAGGTTGGTAAAATTTTACTCAAATGTATATTATGTCTGCAGGTCGTTTGGTATTGAAAATGGGCGATGTTAGGTCCACGTTTTGGTATATCCCCCATACAATGGTACCTCCCTATTTTCGGTATTTTGGTGATTTAAGCAACATTATTCACCGAAATTGTTTCAAATCTAATATTTGAAGTTCGTAACGTTTACTACAGCCTTAGACAGAAAATTGTCTGTGCAGGTCCACATCTTTCTATAGCCCCCATACAATGGTAACTCCCTTTATTCGGTATTTTAATGATATTTGCGACATTATTCACCAGAACTGTTTCAATTTTCGTATGTAAGGTTTGGAATCGTTACTACAGCCTATGACAAAAAATTACTTATGGTGGATTTTTTTTCGGGGGATTTTTTTTTTTTTTTTTTTGAAAAATTTCCAGTTCTTTCCGAATGGTGGAGGGTATAAAAATTTGGGCTCAGCCAAACTTACCTGCTTTTTTACTTGTTTAAATATATTTTACCAGATATTGTCGACCGAAGTATTCCAAAATTACGAGAAAATCGAAAATTTATATCCAATTTTATGCGAAATCATAAATTCCATATTCATTTCAGGTTTCTGGTTGAAAGAAATATTTAGTTGTATAGAATCGATGACTTGCTTCACAAGCTATGACAGATAAAGGTATTTGAATTTTGACCCTTTGTGGGTGAGTTACCAGAAGGGGTTCGCAGATATATATCATCTTCACAACACATCTTGGGTTAGCAAAATGTTTGTGTGTGTGAAATTTGAAGAGAGTTGGATGCTTTTTCTCTTTCTTCGAGCGTTTTGTTTTTTAAAAACTTGAAAGCATTGTGGGGGAGGTACCAAAGAAATGGCCCGATCTCTACTATGACAGATCTTGTGTTGGTGGAAATATTGAGATGTGCCAAATCTAAATAGAATCGGATGTTAATTTCGAGTTTTATGAGCCTCATGGATATTCAAACTTTGACCCTTTTTGGCGGGAGATACAAGAAGGAGTGGGCCGACATATTCCATATTCACATCAGGTCTTGTGTGAGTAGGAACATTGGAATGTGTGAAATATGAAGAGAATCGGATGCTAATGTCGGATTTTATAATCGTTTTGGTTATTCAAAACTTTGACCCTTTGTGGGGGAGGTACCAAAAGAAATGGCCCGATTTCTACCATCTTTATGATAGATCTTGTGTTGGTGGAAATATTGAGATGTGCCAAGTCTACCTAGAATCGGATGTTAATTTCGTGTTTTATAGGCTTCATGGATGTTCAAAATGTTGACCCTTTGCGGGGGAGATACCAGAAGGGGTGGAGCGATATATTCCATCTTCACACCAGGTCTTGTGTTAGTAGAAATATTGGAATGTGTGAAATTTGAAGACAATCGGAGTCTTACATCACATTTTATAAGAGTTATAATTATTCAAAATGTTGACCCTTTGTGGTGGAGGTACTTGATGGAGTGGACCGATATTGTTCATTTTCGCACCTGACGAATCATGGTAACATTAGAATTTTTTCAAGTTAGAGCAAAATTGGACTATCCTTTCCCTCTTGTGCAGTATAATATTTTTTCGAAAATCTCGACCTTTTATGGCGGATTTTTTTTTTCGATGAGGCACGTTTTGGCCATATCAAATGATATATACCCTCACTAGGCATATGGCTGAGGGTATAAAAACCACGAGTATGCCTTTGATCGAGTTTGTAGAATAATTTTCTCAGAAGACCGTGGACCTGAATGTTCAACGTTCTGCCGCCGGAGCTAGAGCCCATTATGAACGACAAATACCAATTTCTAGACAAATCCGTGGAAAAATACCGAATATCTTGAGGTGCGGTTATATGGGAGCTATACCAAAACGTGGACCTATATATACCATGTTCCGCCACCGGAGATAGAACTCATTTCGAACTACAAAACCAATTTTTAGACAAATCCGTGGAAAAATGTGTCAAAAATCATCAAAATACCGAATATTCTGAGCTGCGGTTATACGAGGGCTATTCTAAAACGTGGACCGATATAGCTCATTTTCAAAACCTAGACACTATACAAATTGTTCTGCTAAATTTTTATGCCCACGTCAAATAATGTGAGCTGTATCGTGATTTCAACAAACAGACAGACAGACGGACATTGTTAAATCGACTTAGAATTTTATGCTGATCATGAATATATACATCTTATGGGGCCAATGACGAATGGGAAATGGACGAGGTGTTACACGGTGGAGGGTATAAAAATATTGTTTAAAAAGTTACAATTATACCCCTGATAGAACTTGAAACAATATTGATGAGAATCTAAGATTATTTCCCTAATGAAGTTTGTAAAAATATTCCTAAAAATCAATTTGTGAAGTATTATTAAAAATCTACTACATAAACTCTGATAGATTTTGTAACAATATTCCTAAAAAATCGACCATTTAGCCTCTGATACAAGCTATAAAAATATCCATTTATTTGGCTGTAAAAAAATCCACAAGTATGGAGGAGTTTGTAAAATATTCTCAAAAGACTAGTGTTTGAAAAAGTTTGTTTAAAAAATTTTCAATTATAGTTTTGATAGAGTTTGAAAAAAGTGTCCTGGTGACTCTAGGTGTGTTTAAAAAATTCCTTTGGTAGTCATTGAAGACAAGATTGACAAAACATTTAAAAAAATTAAAAACAGACATACAATTTGCTTAAGCACCTCACGAAGATGTATTTATTTTGGAAGCTCTGGCTAACTATCTATTTCATTTTACTAATTCTATTGTTTTCGTTCTTCGTTCCATTTACAGACTTCAGGAAGATCCACCAACCGGTGTTTCTGGAGCGCCCACGGATAACAACATAATGATATGGAATGCTGTGATCTTCGGGCCACATGACACACCCTTTGAGGATGGAACATTCAAACTAACAATAGAGTTCACCGAAGAGTATCCAAATAAACCGCCAACAGTTAGATTTGTGTCAAAAGTATTTCATCCCAATGTCTATGCCGATGGTGGTATTTGTTTGGATATTTTACAAAATCGATGGAGTCCCACATATGATGTATCAGCTATATTAACTTCAATACAGGTAGGCTGCACGTTTAAATTTGTGTGGATAGTGATTTTAATGAAAAAATTCTCTTTTTTTTCAATTTACAGTCATTATTGAGTGATCCAAATCCTAATTCGCCAGCTAATTCGACAGCTGCCCAACTTTACAAGGAGAATCGCCGGGAATATGAGAAACGAGTGAAAGCTTGTGTAGAGCAAAGTTTCATTGACTAGCCATCCGCCGCCGTAGCCGCCGTTAAAGCCTTTAATTTAATAAAAATTAATCTTAAACAACAAAAACAACATTTTCACCTGGAGTTCATACTCACAATCATTTCCGTTTTATAAAACCAAACAACAAAATAAACTCTGTATTTGCCACTACACCAAAAACTAATCCCTCCTCTACTCTTGTTGCGCTCCCCATTTCACATGAAAAGGAAAACAAAAAAGAATATCCAAAAACCGAAAAAACCCAAATAATAAATCAAATTATTGTAGTCAGCAGCAGACACACATCCAGAGACACAGAATTGTTGAATAAACAAGAAAAAATATTTTAAATTCTATAAAAAAAACAACAAGAACAACAACTTAAAAAGTAAACAAAAGAGAAATTAATTAAAGTAATTTTTAATGAACTACAAAAAAACAAAACAAAAACAGGAAACAAAAGAAAATAGGCTTTTATTCTTTAGAAACAAACCACCATGGTTTTTTCCCCTACCGGTCCCCAGCAATTCTTTCTTAAAATAGCAATAAATAATTAATTATTATAATAAACAAAAATAAGCAACAACAACAAAATATAATGTGGTGGGAAGCGATCATTGTATTGTTTCAAAAAATACAAAAAAAGAAGTAGGAAGAGAAAATTAAAATATCAGCTAGGCAGAGACAGGCATTATAAGTAAAACAGAAAACAGAAAACAGAATCATAATAAAACAAAGTTATCCTTGTCCCATATATTCCCCCCCCCCCAGTCCCCCAGGAAAAACAAGTCGGCAACAAACAATCTTTTTAAAACTCCAAACACACACACACTTTCTCACTCACTCACATAAACAACTTACATTACATACGAAACTGAAAAAAAAACATAAAAATATTAATGTTTAAAGGAAACAAATCAATCTCTTCTTCTGTTCCTTCTCTTCGTTTGCCTTCCCCATACCGAAAAAAAACAAATAAATTCAAGTAAAAAGAAGTGAAAATTAAGAACACTTTATAATATAAACTTTGTTTATTACTATTTTATTTTCTTCGCTCTTAGCTTTAGTTCTCAATGATCTGATTTAGAAATTGTTAAAAATTGTTTTCTCAAAACAAAAACCAACAAACCAACAACTCTCTGAGATCTTTTTTTTTTTTAGAAATCCAGCATTTAGTTTGTTTTATTTTTCTTTTTCTTATTTTATCGTTAATTTTTTGTTTTCATTCTTTTTTCACCCTCTCCTTCACACCAATGAATAAACCTTTTTCCTAAGCGTTTTATTTTCTTTTTTTCTCTCTCTTATAAATATATATTTTTTTTAAATTATTCTCAATCTTAATCTTAGAATTATGTTAAAAAGTAAATTTATAATTACTACTATTATAAATGTAATTAAAAAATATAAAATAATAATAATAAAATAAAATCTGAAGCAAAGCATTATTAAATTATATGGTAAAAAAACATACAAATGATTTGTAATTAGTTTGGTTGGGGAATTTGGGAAAATGGGAAGAGGTCAAAGGTTTGGAGAAGGGTGGGTATGCCAGATTTGGAGAGGGCGCAAAGGCAATATTTGTGTATTTTTTTAGATTTAATTTGCAATTTCGATCGAGTATGTCATGTGCATAAATCTTACCTCAAATTAGACAGTGGGCTGTCGCAAATGACTATCGGAAGTGTTAAGCAAGGCACATCATCTTTTGGCAAAAATTATCTTCCAGATTGTATGTATTGTATCAGCCCAATTGCTATTACAAAACTCAGTTACCTCCGGATCAAAAACGCGCTTTTGAATGGCATAAACTATTGTATGCGAATAAGGATGTGTCTGGAGTTTACATGACATGACGTTAAGTTGCTGCACTTACAGTATTCTTGCCTTATTATTTATCAGATTTTTTTTAAGTTGCTGCACTTACAGTATTCTTGCCTCATTATTTATCAGATTTTTTTTTTTGATTACAACCTCTTGCAATGGGAAGAAAAAAGTCCGTAGCAGAATTTTTAGAGAAAGGGTAGTTAGGTTTAGGATGGTAGGAATTATATTATCGCCGACGCAGTGGCATAGAATCAATGGACTGTAATCGGTCGGAAATGCCACCACCAGCTTTGTTTCTGCAGAGGAAATTCAATGTAGAACCTTTGGAGTTGATATATGTTTCTCTGTTCTGTTCGTAATATTTGTATCGAACTTTTGTCGAGTTCGAAGGTCGGCAATATCATACTTTTATAGACAATATTTTTCAAAGAAAAGGCCCTCTCCTCTAGGTTACTCCGACGCAAACGGATGAAATTCAAGAAAAAACCTTAATCTTAATAATATGAAAAATTACTACACGTTGTTTTTTATACCCTCAGCCAAATGGCTACATGGGGTGTAGAGGGTAAGATAAAAAACTGGAACAAAGTTTAACGCCATAATTAATTTTGTTTTAATTTTATTGAATGAAACAAAAAATGTCGGAAATAGCATCAACTTTTAGAATAAGTTTAGATTTGTTCGAATTGGTCACCTTTGGCTCGTATTAGAAAACCAAATTCGGCAGTTCACCACTTTCGACCAAGCCAAGCAACTCTTTAGCTCTTTTGAGTCTATTTTCTTTCATTTTTCAATATTTGCCGAATGGAATATTGCGATATGTTCAGCTCACGAGCCATTTATCGGCCACCGCGACTCGGGTTTGGATCAAATCGCTTCTCCACTTTTCAAACCATTTCTGCTGATGTTACTGATTTCTTCTGTCTGTCCACTTCCTTGACGTCGAGCTACGCTACCAGTATCACGGTAACGAGCGATGGTACGAGATACAAAAGATTTATTCATATTTAAATGCTGGAGTGCTCTAACGATAGCCATTTGTGGGTCTCCAGCCAAATATAAAGAAATCACACTATCACGTTTGAATTCCATCACGAATAACTTTTTTTCCGGAATATTCTCACCAAAATGCTTTTGTACGCTTGTAAACAACATAATGACCTATCACTGGAATAATATTTTCATCTCATCCTGTATTTCGAGCACCACTTCTTTTTCAAAATTTCACAATTTTTTGTTTAAAACCTTTTTCGATTTTTGGCCATATATTTAGTGAAATTTTCTACCTTTGATAGGCAGAAGATATTCTCAAGGACTTGATAACACATAACTTCAGCCCTAGTAGAGTTAGATTAACCAATACAACTGGCATCAAATGGATTATATTTGACCTCATATCCAATGTGCCCTGTTATATTCAAATTTAAGGCTATTTTTTGCATACCAATTACTTTTGGTCCAATCGTTGTCAGAGTACTATGTCAAGACAAAATAATTACATTTTTAGGTTTCTTTTTTATTCATATTATATATCTTTATTTGTATTAATATATAAATGTAAATTGGTATTTTTCGTTTTCTCTTAATCAGCGTAAAAGTTGTTGTTAGCATAAAATATATATGTATATTATAAACCCTATAGAATACATACAAAAAGAAAAATAATACTTAACTTTTCTATTAGAATGAATGATAAAACTTGTATTTATTTTTTGGGAGAAAATAGAGTTTATGTTATAAAATTATGTGTGATTTTTTATTTTAAATAAAAATAAAATTAAAGAAATAAGGTTGCATCGTTTTTTAAGGCCACTTATCAAAGAAGTTGTTTTTCTTCGTTTTTTTGGGGGTGTTTTAAGGATTTTCAATAGATTTGTTATCGAGCTATTTATTATTATGTATATAAATGTATATAAAATAGATATATATGTATACTATATTTGTATGTATGACAAGTTGAACTTAATATTTAGAAGACATATAACAGGTTACATCGATATTATTTTATTATATTATATATTTATATTTTTTTTAGATTTGAATAAAGTACATACGTATACTTGTAGTTAGGCGTTGTTTGATATTGCAATAAGGTTAATATAATTGTATGATTTTTGTATGATTTTGGACTTGTTACTTTTAAAGTACTTTTTTAAAAAGAAAACAGAAAACAATTGATTATATTATTATATTAAATATTTACACACAAAAATAGAAATGCAAAATAGAGGAAAATTAGAATTCAATGTCTATTTTAAATACCTTTCTATTCAATAAACATAACCCCACTTTTCAAAAGGTTTCGTGGGGAAAAAATAGAAGATTTTCTTTTTAAATATTGGAGCATTTTATGATTATAAATGGCATAACTGCCGTATTGCCCCTTTATTTTGAATATAAAAACAAAAGTTTTGGATTTTAAAAGGGTGACTCCCTTCGCTAATTTTCATTTGTCGCCTGGAAACAAACTTTCTTCGTTCTTAAATACCTATACATATTTTTTCTGTAAATTATATGTGTAAATATTTATAACAATGAGTTTATTTGTCATTATATAAAAAAATATATTTTATTTTTCAAAAATACTTCAAGGCACTTTGTTTGCTAAGACTTTTCAAGGTATTTTCCATATTTTTTTTATTTTCATTTAGGTACATTGGGATGTACATTTGTTTGGATTGCGGGATTCATCCGTGATGTTTTTCAAACATTGGAGAATTGGGGTTTCAATTTATTTTTTTTTTTTAAATCAGGTTCGTACTTCGTTGAATATTTGTTCCTTTTTTTCCTTAATTATGAGCTGATGCATGAATATTTTTAAAATCCTGGGTCTGGGTGGTACTGCGCAAAACTTCCAGCCATCTAAAAAGGGAAGATAGAAAAAATAGTAATTATAAAAATTATTAATGCAGAAACCATTCAAAAATGTTTTTACAGAGAGAAGGCATGGTGGGGATGCTTTATGAAGAGAAGGCATTTGGAGTTCTTCTTTAAAAATGCGTTGGAAAGGTCTTTTTAAAGAGGCCTCCGAGAATATTTTATTAAAGCAAAGGATCGTTAAACGATTTTTTTATAAATTCATAAATTTCAGGAGCGTACGACGAGAGAAGGTGGGGCTCAGAGCGCCTCCGAATAGGTTACAAATCTCAAATTTATTGAACTTTTTGCAAATTTGGTTTTTTACCAGCTGGGTCGCCCAATATGGCTTCGAAAGACATTTTTCGGCATGTCCTGTTAAGATCTTTATAAGTATATTTAATATACAAAGAGGAAACGATGGAAGGCCTTTTAAGGGTCTCCTGTACCCAGAGAATTAATTTTGTAGAAATTCAGTTTCTATAAAAGACCTTTAAAAAAACTTCTTTTTCCTTGGAAGTCTTTTTAATGGTCGCCTGTAATCTTTAAAATATATATAAAAATCTATCTATGGACATCAAATATCTTAAAAATGGCTTTACGGAGACTTTTCAATTATCTTGTAAATTCGCAAAAAATACAATTAACAGTTTTTTTCCTAGAAACAAAGGACCTTAAAATTTCCTCTTAAAACAGCGTGCGTGCCTTTCCTTTTAAAGGTCGTCTGTAATCCTTTAAATGACTTCTTTAAATACAGGAGGACCTTAAGAATATCTTCTATGGGCACAGAAATTTTTTGAAAGATCTTCTATGGACATCAAATATTTTAAAAATGGGTCTATGGGCACAGGAGACTTTTCAAAAGTCTTGTAAATTCGCAAAAAAAACAATTAAAAGGTCTTCCCTAGAAACAGAGGACCTTTGAAACTCCTCTTATAACAGAAAGCCTTCTGCGTGCTTTTTATATACCTCTACAGGTATACTATGGACAGGTCTTCTGTAAATAAAACATCTTCCAAAGCTCTGCTTTTGACCTTCTTCTGAGTGATTTTTCTATATGAAAGACCCCATACAGGTTACCTATGGACAGATCTTCTGTAAATAAAACATCTTCCACACCTCTGCTTTTGACCTTCTTCTATAACACTTATTCTACTTCATCTTCTCCCGCTTCAACTTACCTCTGATATGTGTGTATACTTTCCGCCCTAAAGAAATACACATGATTCTTAAACGAAAGCTTGAATACAAACTCCTTTTGTACAGCATCTTGAACGCCGGGCGGTCCGACAGTGTAGCCC